AGAGGGTGCTTTGGGGGTAGGGGGGAATGAAATCTAGTTGGACTTTAATGATGATTCCTTCCTGTAAAAATTGTAGCTGCAAGCTGTATAGTTAATATGGTCAAAGCTAAATCTTTCCTTACTATAATTTCCTTCCTATCATATTCATGATAAGAGGAAACAGCAGGAGACCAGTGCTGGTAATTTTTGGTACAGGGTTCCCAGCGCACTTGCCCTATCATATGCCCCTCCATCTCCAGTTACCCACCTTATAACCCTTACACTACCCTTTTGTCTTCTGGATCAGCATTCCAGCACTTCCCACATACCACATGCAAGCCCCCAGCCAATGAGCAATAACAGAAATTTGTGCAAGTCAGATCTTTACACAATTATAGATGAAAAAATATAAAGAACTGCAAATGTTCACTGAATACCTAAGCAAGTAGGCATTTCTGGCCTTCCAGATGAATTTTGTGTTTTGGCTGCATCATCCTTAAACCAATACTGTAATGTGTGCCTTACTGTAATCCGTGGTAGTTTCCCTTCTCTTTGCTGCTCTTCCTTTTAAATCTGTATCTCTTCTCATGCTTGGGGAGAACTTCCCTTTGCAGTTGAGTGCCTCTTCCTGTAGTGCTGGCTCAGGTTGTGAACCTACACACAGACACCATGTATCCATTTCAGAGACAAGGCAGTCTGCTGCAAAACAGAAGTTCTGCCCAGCATGAGAAGAGATACGGATTTAAAAGGAAGAGCAGCAAAGAGAAGGGAAACTACCATGGATTACAGTAAGGCACACATTGCAGTATTGTTTTATGTTAAAAAATCTGAGGGTTTAATGTCACTTTAATGGATCAATCCATTTTAACAGCACACCAGTAGCACTCTTTTAATCACAGTTATCATCCCGGCCTTTCATTTAATACCTACTGCAAATGCCTCATCATAAAGTATTATCATAAAACCTAATAGAGCAACGAAAAAATTGGACGAGCTTTCCATGTGCAATGCTTCTTAATGTTTCTATTAGATTGTCCATGGTGGGAATAATTTAGGAATAATTAAGTTACCTTCTAGGAGTAATTAAACTTGTAATCCATTATATAAACTATAAATGGAAGATACCGACATTATTGTTGGAATATGTTTCTTCCTCGACATTTAAGGATTAATTATTGCGAGTTTTGTGCCGCTTTTAAATAATAATTTTTTATTTAAATAAGCGTGGTTTATTGTTTATGTATTGTTAGTCATATACTGCTAACACTTTGATAAACAAAAGATAAGTGTTAATGAGCAACGAGATAAGCGTGCGGAAAATAGCTTTGCTAAGAGAAAATTGATATTTCAAGCCAACCCTTGCTGGAGGGATAATCAGTTCTTGTAGAAAATATAAAGAACTCATTATGCACTTGTGTATGAAATTCTCAGTTCCCCTTATTCCCTTCAAATAGACTTTAGTTTTTTTTCCAGAATTTCTGAAGTAAGAACTCTCCTTGTTGCCAACAGCACCCAATGCAAGAGCAAAATTGGACTGGCTGCTACCAGCAACAAAAACTGAGCTTCCTTCAGACCATTTAATAAATTAAGCCACCTTGCCATCTGGTGGGCCTTGAGGTGTTACAGACCAGTTCTGAGACGACATACCCTTGTTTGGCTTGGGGCATGGGGTTGTCAACTAAAATATTTCTCAAAATGTCTGAATTAAAGTGAACTGATGTTTTATATTTGTTTTTACTTTTTATATAAAATATGTATTTTACAAAAAAACAATTAAACAATTTGCATAGCTTACTTGTCCACTGAAGCTGCAGGTACATTTGTTCTGTGCGAGTTAACAAGTTGTTGAGAAAATGGAGCAAAAATGTATGTTCTTAGTGTAATTTCTCTTCTGGTGGAATGTTCTTCAATAGGTTAAGTCATACAGAACAGAGTGAATGGGGAAAATACCGCATTATGGCCACAAGATGGAGCTGAGCATCATAGGAAACCAATACATGTTGCAGTTTAGGAGACCAGTGGAGGGAATGAGCATATAAATGTAACCACTGATACTACGGCAGGGGTGGGCAATTCATTTTTTCAAGGGGCCACAAGAGAAAATGGGACTGTTGTGGAGGGTCAAACCAATAGGTCCTATTGGTTCAGCCCTCTGCAACAGTACCAGTTACTCATATGAATAGCGCGCAGTACTGCACAGCACACCTACCGTGTGTTACAGTGCGGCAGGTGCGTTGCATTGCCATTCATTTGGATGGCACCCCAAACGCACCTTACGCAATGCTGTGCATTGCAGGGTGGTTGAAAAACGAACAATAGATGCGCTGTGTTGTACCGTGTCTTAATCGCACAGAACCGCGTGATTAACAAACAGTTTACTTCACTGTTTACCTGAACTATAGCTCACATTATTATGTTTTTATATTTGTGTTTTAAAGTATTCTTATTTTTACGCTAGATGAAGGCGGATGCAACAGCGGCAGAAGCTCCACCTCCAGTCGAGGAACGTGAGTATTTTTAACAAACAATAGTCACTGTCTGTCTAACAACAGAGATGCTCAGAGCAGCATGACCAAGCCTGATAAGTGATGACACTGGTTCCTAACAGGCAGAATAATGGGTCACTGTCCCAATATGGCAGCCCCTAAAATGGATGATCTACCTGGAGCATGCTATGAACCTATACTGGGCCAACTTATTGGTTAAGGTTTGGGTATCATTATGTATAACCATACAGTTTGCAGCAGGCATGCCCTGTATACCTAATAAGCAGTGACGTGCAGTAAGGTCCGTGCTAGGTGAGGCATTCCCCTTGCCCGCACGGTCACCGAGCTATGTGTGGAGGATGCTGGGAGAAGGGAGGAGACTCCCTGTACCTCACTTGCTCGTCACTGGTAAAGCATCGAGATAGATGTCCTCAGTGGGTGTTTTTTTTTCTTTTTTTGATTGGACAGCTTGGACCAATTGAGCTTTGCCATTAGTCCAAACCATCCACAGAGCTCAAGCCTCTAACACCAGTTAGAGGCTTTTGCAGCTCTGGCTTCACTATGGTAGGTTACACAAGCAGTGGGGAAGCCCGCTGCTGTGTAACCTAACCTAGCTGTCATAAGTCAGATTAACAGGCAGCGCTCTCTCCATAACAGGTTACACAGGGAGGCTTTCCCTGCTGTGTAACCTGTTACAAGCCGCTCTGAATGGAGAATAAGCTTAAGCTGACAGCTTTTTCGTCCATATTACTAGGTGAGGCTCTGCCTTATCGGCCTCCCCTGACCGCACGTCCCTGCTAATAAGCCTGAAGGATTATGGTACATGAACCTCCTATTAGGCTCTTATTTAAACATTTCAGCAACACAAAGGGAAACTTGTGTTTAAAACATCTTCAGAACAGAGCAGGTAGGATTGTGCAATACAGTCTGCCAAAAGTCATTGCAATATGCCATATAGTACAAAGCTGAAGCTTCATTTTGAGTTCTGCCCTCCACTCCTCTCAACCTACACCCCTGGTATGTTAATTTTAAATCAAACCAGTCCCTTTAGCCCAAGATTTTGCCAAACTAAAGCGCGGCACAAATATTCCTCATGTTATTGGAAGTTTTCCTCAACTCTCCAGTAAAATACTTCTGTTTCTGTACAGCTACAAAGCCCTCCAAGACAAAAGGTCATGTAACATTAGTTGTTGATGAACACGACAAGAAAAAGAGAGACGCCAGAAAGACACTAGATGCCGTTAAACCAAAATCAAAGCAAGAAGGACCAAAACTTGCCACACTTCAGGTATTTTCTGTACCAGTAGAAACAAAACTTTTCTATACAATGCAATGGCAGAGCTGCTCATGGCTGTAAATGTATAAATTAGTGGATCTTCTAAACAGGACAGCCAGAAACAAGTTAATCTCTGATCTCATCCAGCTTTAAGGTCATTGGGAATCATTTGCTTGGATATGACAATTTTCGCATACATTTCTTTTTAAATCTTCCGTACCTAACTTAAGTTAAAGCCCATCCCCAGACAAACCAAAACAACTACCCATGCAGTGGGGATACTGCCACACAGCAGGGGAGGAGAGCTCATTCTTCTTTAGGTTCTGGAGTAAAGCCCTTTTCCTTACCTGATCCCCGATCCCCGGTGGTCAGCACTCTCTTCTTCTCCCCCTCCACCCCGGCTGGTGGACTGTTCCTTGGCGTCCTCATGTCTAATGCAGATCTACAGTACTTGCATTAGACACGATGATGTCAGCAGGCAGCTACTGTAGCCCCGGGAAGAAGAGGCTGGAGGTACTAACCTAGCAGCCTGGAAGGAGCTGACAGGAATGGGGATCAGGTAAATAAATCAAAAAGCAAACTTTAGCTTGTGCTGGACTAGGCCTTGGAAGTCAATGTTTCTATATATGCAGCACTGTGTACTAACCCACACCACATGTATCTCTCAATGTGGATCTTTCAGTAACTTTCCAAATCTACATGACAAAATGGCAGGACTGACGCATTATACAACAATGGTATAATTTTTCCAAAAAGATAAATCTTTTATAATTAACAAGTAGTCTGTGAGCTCCAGTTAGTGACCTTGCCAAGGCTGAGATGTCAGCAGCCTGCTGTAGGTACCGTAGTAGGAAGGAAGCAGTTCCTCAATCTCATCTCCCAGAAGTTGCATCACTGTTACTTTGTAGATGAAAGGCTACAGCAATGTCTGATCTGTGTCATACATTTGAAAATGTAGCCAAGAACTGTGCAGACACCAGGATTTACATGATTGGGATCTTTGAGTTGTCATCTCAGTCCAGGAAGTAAATGGTGAGCCTGGATGATGCCTGGAAAAAGATGGCTCCACATCCTTTTGGAGAGAAAAGCAGATGAAGGCATTGTTAGGGAGAGTACTGGGATCTCTGTGGGAGGTAAAAATACCTGAAAGAGTTAGATTTTCATATTATTTAGCATGCATGCACCTAAGATGAACAAAAATCTGATGTTATGTCCTCTGTAACTAGCTCAGATAACCTCTTGATGCTGTAGAAGGAACGGGCTGATGATTACTTGTATTTAGTATATTGGGGTTATGGTACATCTACATGCAAACAATATTTAGCAGATTACTTTAAACAATGTTTTATTATTTTGTACCCAAGATCATCTGATCAATAACCATTACCAGGTGTGCAAAGCCTGGAAGGGGGGCTTTCAAGAAACAAAGTTGTTCTCACAATGAACTTGTTATTTAAAATAGTTTATTACAATAGATTAAAAACAGATATTGTTGGTACAAACTGCATATCAAAGATGTGCATGATCCAATTGAGTTGATAGTGATAGTTGCAGTCGCCTAATTGATCATAAGAAAGATGAAACATGGTATTATTCTTTCTTTGGATGCCTCAACATGTTTCACCTAAAACAAGGCTTCCTCAGGAGGACTTTGATCCTAAAGAACTAATCAATATAGACCAAATCAGTATCTGTGTTGACATGTATCTAAACATTAAAAATATGTGACACATGGACAATACAGGTGAAACTCGAATAATTAGAATATCGTGCAAAGTTCACTTATTTCACTAATGCAACTTAAAAGGTGAAACTAATATATTACTTTTGCACGATATTCTAATTATTCGAGTTTCACCTGTATACAGAAGATATATGTATATATAAATAAATACAGTACATAAACCTGCAACTTGATATAGACCAGCCAATAAGAGATTAACCAGAAGACCCAAAAATAGGTCGAATCGTTGGCTGGTCTATATCAAGTTGCAGGTTTATGAATTTATTCATACATTTTTTCACATAATATATATACATATATCTTCTGTATATATCTATTGTAATAAATTATTTTACATAACAAGTTCATTGTAAGAGCAACTTTGTTTCTTAAAAGCCCCCCTTCCCAGGCTTTGCACACCTGGTAATGGTTATTGATCAAATGATCTTGGTTACAATCTATTTTACTGGGGCGGGAAACCTTGCTCTCTTTCTATCTAATATGCGCTCATAATTGTTTAAATTGTTTTATTATTTGCCTTTTCCATGAAGGCTTAGGCTAAATTATTACAAAGTACAACAGTCATGGCTAGTGCAAAAACCCACAGCAACTAATCAGACATCAGCCTTCTTCAGTGTAGAGTAGTTGGGGCAATGAAAGATGGTTGCTCTTTGGTTGCCTTGGGGTATGGTGGATTGCGTACTGTGTCTATTCTGAACTTTGGCATTTTATAACAGTGTAAATGATTATATGAAAATAAGCAAGTTGTCATTTTTAAACTTTATATTAAGGTTGATGTTGAAGAAAACAACATCAGTGATCAGTTTTATAAAAGACTTGGTTGCCATATGCTCTTCAATTAGTCAACGTAATGTTCTCATTTGTTATAATTATTGCTGAGATATTACATCAAGTCTGTGTACACTTGGCAGTAAAAATAATAAATGTATAGACTAATAAGAGATTTGAGATGCAACCGCTATGAAATAATGATTGGTGACTCTGATCACTGATGGGCTTGTGTAATGTCTCCATGAACATGGAAGGGAGATTAAGGGAGATTAACCCCTCCAGTATCCGGGCTCCATCTTTGCCGGTAGAGGATAGAACCTAACTCCAGCCATTTCTTTTATTTTAGATAGAGTGAGGAAAAGTTAGAGTGTCCATGTGAAAAACTTAAAATAAATATGTATTTCTATGTTGACTTTCCATAGGTTCTATCCCACTCCTAATAACTAGGTATGCGCCAATACTGGTTTTTCGGCATCGAATACAAGCACTGATATTTTTTTTGTGGTACTAGTGGATACCGATACTGGCATTCCAGGGTACCGTTGGCCCAGCTTATCAGGAAGCTGGTGTTCTATTGAAAGAACACCCGCTTCAGGTTCCATGGCAGCCTGGCTTCCTGACCAATGAGGAAGCTGGGCGGCACCTCATGACCCCCCTCCTGTCTTCCTAATTGGCTAGGAAGCAAACTTCACTTGTTGCCAGGCGGCGGGTCCTGACCTGCCACCCAGCTTCCTGATTGATCAGGAAGCCAGGCTGCCTAGCAACAAGTGAAGCCAGCTTCCTAGCCAATCAGATTGGTGGGTCATGACCTGCCGCCCGGCTTCCTGATTGGCCGGAAATCTCCCTCTGACCGGAAGTTCCGGTATCAGGGTAAGTATCGGATCATTTGGGCAAGTATTCATACTCGCCTAAATACTCAATATCGACACTGATACCGATCCTAGTATGTGTGCATCGCTACTAATAACCATATCCATCTAGCAGTTTGTAAATTTGCGTATTGCAGATGCCCATAGGATGGACTTTCTCAATGCAGTGACACAATTTCACTCACTCCTGTGAATATGCACTTCCTTATGTCACCACTTTAACTAAACCTGCCCCCCCAAAAAACGGACATATGTTTTAACCCTCCACTACTAAATTAAAACTATATTTTTTATTTTACATTTTTTGCATTTGTCAGATTAGTGGTTTTGGAAACCGTTCAGTATTTATTATCATTGTTGGCTGCCACTTACCACTGTATTGAAAATATCCTCAGCGCTCTCCCACCATGCTTATTGTTTTAGATTTATGATGGTGAGCTGGAGAGTGAATTCAAGAACTTTGAAGACTGGGTCAGAACATTTGAACTTCTTCGAGGCAAAGCCAATGATGAAGACCACAGCGTCCATGATGACAGAACTGTCGGTAAATTCAAAGTGAGTCATTAGAGGGGTTTGTTTGGTGTCATGGGGTAATTGCTGACATGTTAGAAAACATGCCATTACCATGTTTGGGTGGGTTTTCTTTGAGTTCTTTGGTTTCCTCCAACAGTTTAGGAAAAAAAAGTCAAAGGCTAACGTCACCCAAATAAGTTAATCCACCTAGGAGTTTTGGGTGACCCCCATGCATCTTTGCTTATTCCAGCTCCTCCTTTTGCATTTTCCATAGTATGAAATAAAAAATCCAGGAGAGAGTGGAAGTCCCTCATGATCTTCACAACAAATGTGCAGAGATCCCACCAACAGAATCCCCCTGAGATATAATAAATAGTCATCTGATAATACTTTGTGTGACGGGGGGCCACCACAGTACCACCAGTACTATCAGAGACTTGTAGAATGTCCTTCGATGTTTCACTTGATTTTAACATATGATTTTGGAAACAAATAGAGTTTCTTGAACAAAAACCACATTCACTGTTAGAATTCCATCCTGCACTTTATTTCATCACTAAGATCGAGATTGATTGTCAGATTGACCCCATTAACTGTTAGAGAATCAAACTAATTTTCAGAAAACAAAATTCTACTGGTGTATGGCCAGCTTAGAGAAAAGATGGGTGTCTCTGCCTCTGAGGATCAGAACAAAAAACAGAGGTTCCATCAAACAAAGTCCAAATTAGTTTTTATTGGTGACAATAAAAGCATCAAAGTGCCATTGCATTTCATAAGCAAACACAGACCCCCTTCATCAGGGCTTCAGGTGTATTTCAAAAGGGGAATCCCTTGGGGATTAGACTGAAGGAAATTTACAATGATAGTGGCCACAAATACAAAGGCACATGCAGCAGTCAACCACTGAGAGGCTCAGGTAACACCAAATTCTTTGGTGTTACCAATAAAAACACCTTTGAACTCTTCTTCATTTGGTGGCGTCACCATTTTATGTTCTAATCGAGTTATCCAGCAGAGGCAGAGATGTCCATCTTTTTTCTAAGCTGGCCATCCACCAGTAGAATTTTGTTCTGTTTGCTCTTTGTGGGGTCCCTTTAGGTTGAAGTGCAGCTACTTCCAAGCAATCAAACCACACAAAAGTAACTATGGCACATTTATAATCAGAGATCACTGCGCCTCTCAATCTTCCTCGCATTTGTATCTGCTGGATGATTTCAGCGTCAGAACTTTACAGGCACTGTCAGATTATTATTCTGCCCATCATTACCTGTATGCCGACTGGGTCTCAGTAGACTTGGGGCACCTGTCAACAGCCATGGAGCTTGTGCTCTAGGTGCTGGGGTATAACGACAAGCATGACATAATGTTATTATAGGTTGGAAAAAGGGGTTTTTGAACTGTTTGCTTATTCAGAAAGGACTGGGTGGGTTTCCTAGCTCTAACTTAGATTAGATCGAGTTCCCCTAGGTCAGGGATTGTTATGAGTTGTTCATTGTTTAATACAAAGCACAGATGAGTTTGTTGGAACTATATAAAGGAAATAGAGGAATTATCAAATGGATAAATACTATAAGATAAGTAATAATGACTTTTCTTCCTAAGGGCTCTTTCTGCATTTATAAGAGCATAGATGATTTATCCAGCTCTATGGACAATCGGCAGCTGAAAATCACACAGGGGATCCCACCTAATCACTCTGTGAAAGTCCTCATCCGTGTCTATATCGTTGCTGTAAGTATGAGAATTCTTCCTTATATTTCTACAATTTCATGTTAAAGAACATAATTTGAGCATTGGTGAGAATCTTAGCTCCACTGTAAGCTCCAACTTTCTTTTACATCCAATACTTCCGGGGTTGCCTGGTGACTGGTTCCTAGCCGTGCTCCCTTAAACTGCATCCACATTGCTATTGTGTTCTGTAATGATGTAGAGGTTTGCAGGAAGAACCACAGCACGCAGATGGGGACCAGGTATCCCACACTCATGGAAGTGTTTGATGTAGAAGAATCATCAGCCACCAGTATGAATACAGAGGACAAAGGCATTCTGGGAGCAGGGCAGGTAATCATTTTACGGCTTCTTTTCCAGGCAGCATTTTTTTAAATTTTTGCATAGAGATGACAGGGTTGCTTTAGGTTATTATAAAAGTGCAGCCTTACTGCTCAGGGATGGGTGTGTGTGCTGTTATTTAGTGATATTCTCTCCCTGTCAGAGCACAAATGTCAGCCCTGTGTCAGGCTGTAAGACCACTATGGAAGCTGATCTCTTTCCTGCCTGAGCTCTCATGGTAAAATTGTCTATGCCTTTAGTTTTGTTTCATCCTGACAGCAATCAACCTGATAGGGAGAAAATACAAGAAAATAATCAAGAGTCAAGAAAAGACTAGAGATTCATGCTATTACAAATGCCCACCCGTGCCTGGTTCTCTTTAAATCAGAACTATAGTCAAAGGGAAAATAAACCATATGATGCAGTCCGTCAATAGTAAAAATTAGGGCTGCGATAATTAACGATTAATTCCTCGATTAATCGTTAATTATTTTGATCGATTAAAATTATTTTGATCAGTACTCACCTCTCCGCCGGCTTCCTGGAGTTCCGCTAACGAAGGGAAGGGGGGAGGAGTCCGGTGACGTCGATGTTCGTGACAGCTAACGAAGGGAAGGGGGAGGAGTCCGGTGACGTCGATGTCCGTGACGTCAACAGACTCCTCCCCCCTTCCCTTCGTTAGCCGTCACGGACATCGACGGCTCTGCCTCTGCTGAAAATTTGATGAAAAATCTACAGCTATGCTAGGTAAGAAAAAAACCTCTTTAATTATTAATTGCCCTGTTTACAATAAAGAGGTGGCACTGTCACCCCTGCCCTAAGCGCTCCTGCCTCAGGCTGATGTGGCATCACATATCTTGTAATCCTGCCACTTTATTGCATGATTGACAGCTCAGGTAAGGAGTGTTGCTGTCAGCCAATTGAGGCTGCTTTTTTACATCAGCAGAGGTGAGGTTTCACTGCAGAGACTAACAGGGTTATTCACAAAAGGGTGTAGAGTTTGGAGAAGGCAGGAGAAGTGAACAATCTAGGACAACATAGCTGAACTGGAAAGTGAGCTGAATTGGATAATTCTTCCAAATCAGTTATGTTGTCCTAGATTGTTCACTTCTCCTGTCTTCTCCAAACTTTTCACCCTTTTGTAAATAACCCTGTTAGTCTCCAAGTAAATGTGGAGAAAAATCTATATATCATGCTCATCAGCCAATCACTGGGTGTTTAATGGCCAGTGGTGCATACTCATGGCCAGTGGTGATTGCCATGTGCTCAGTCTAGTCCACCGCCGGGCTTAGCTGATGGAAATGCTGGCTAGGCCTCAAGCCTAAAGGAGGCCTCAAATGTGGACCCTGGAGGAGTAGTTACTGTTAGTGGAATTGAGTCAGAGAAGCTGGACAGCTACTGGAGGTGCTTGGTACTGCAATGGACCTCAGGAGCAAGTCTGGTGTCTCTCTTACTGAAGATCTCATGCCTATCCCTGTTCAGCTTTTGCTGTAATACCCAGTGTCAGCCTGTGCTCATATTGATTTTGCACTGTGGGATACTGAAAGGGACTGGTGAGTCTGGAGTTCTGTTCTATTTTTGCCCTGGATGTCCTAAGCCCTATATCCTCTCTCCCAGTTAAAGTTCGACAATAAAACATTTAAAAAGGCACTTCAAGTGACTGGCACCCTTCTTTATTTGATCACACATCCCTTCACTGGCCTAGGATCTCACCCGAGAGTGAAATGTCAGCCCTCTCTGCCCTTTTGTAGTCCACGCTATGTGTCTGGGTGTCAGGGGGTTGCTCAGGGGCGGATCCAGAGTCTAGTCTCGGGGGGGGGGGGCACTGCCAGAAAATAAGCCCCCCCCATCTGGCTCTTCCACTGCTACTGTGCCACCCCTTTCCTCTCTCACTGTCACCAGTCAGCATGACCGGACTATCGGCCTTGCAATTTATGTTAACATTTTTTGGGGACAGATAGAGCTTTCTTTTGGAGGTATATAATCACCATGGGGGAAGGGGTGTTATTTTGTTTACTATATAATGAAAAAAGTACCGTAAATGTTAAAAAAAAAAAAGTTTCCCTACGTTCTGTTATAAAACATTTATTCTTACCCATATTTTTGGTAAAACATAAAAGGCGGGATCACGTCGGGTAAATAGACACCAAACATGTCAAGCCTTAAAATTGTGTGCGCCCGCAAAATCGCAAAAAACGCCCACAGGCCCATAGGCGACACTTAAACCGCTTTTACTGCTCATCAGTTTAGTGTTATCAGTGATAAATGGCCCTAAAACTATTGCTCTCACTGCGACGTTTGCGGCGATATGTAACATGTGCGGCACAATAGGCGCAATCGTCGTTTTTGCACATAGGCGCACCCAACGCATATCTGCGTGTGTATGTGAGGGGCGGGGCCTTAAAAAAATTGTTTTCTTTTAAAAAAATTTGAATGCTTTATTTTTTTTGTTAATGATTCTTTAATTTTTGTATTACTTTTTTTTTAACACACAACTTTATTGCTATTACATGGGGGGCTAAGAAGCCCCCTATGTGATAGCCAATTTACATGACAGGTCCTCTTTATGGAGACATCAGGGGTCTCCAAGACCCCTAATGTCACCTAGGGACCCCCAGAGAAGCTGATGAAGCAGAGATCGGCTTCATCAGCTTCTGTAGCTGGAGAGTGACACTGAATGCAGGAAGTGGTGTAATATAAATCACTTCCTGCATTCGGGGACTGAGAGAAGATCAAAGGGAGACCGTATACTGAACTCCCTTTGATCTTCTGTCACAGAGCCATGCCGTCAGTGACAGCGGCGGCTAATACAAGCAATCGGGCGTCTCTGAGCTTGTACATCCAACCACTTTGTTGCCAGTACTGATCTCCAGTCTTGTTTTGTCCAACACGTCCTGAATAACATATTCCATAACTTTGGTTCTCTTTCAACTAACTCACATTTGGACTAAGTGCTTCAACAATATAAATGTAACATATGCTTGTTGTTTTAATTAAAATGAGATGTTTATTTCTACAAGCTGATGATAGTTCAAGAACGTATAAGATAAAGCGCCAGATAAATTCTGGTCATGCAATTTAATGGCCAGCGCAGATTGGACGCCATTTCCGTTTATCTCCGGTCTGGTAGCCAAGTAATTATGAATTAATCACGGAACACTCGTAGTTTTTCCCATTTACTCCTCTAGCCATTGCTCATAAATAAACACAACAATAAAACAATATCCAAACTAACAATATAAGGAGAAATGAGGTCCACCAGAGGAGACATGAAGTCCACCATAAACTTTTCTGCAGCTATTTGTCTCAAAAATAAAAATATACCAACTGCAATACATGGTGATGTCATACGGTCAGTATAGACAATGTTATTTTGCAATAGAGAAAAAAGCAAACAAAAATTCATCAGGTGTATTTAAAGGATTTGTGCAATTATTAAATACATAGGTTCAAGCTGTGGTTAAAGGACCAGCTAGTTCAGCTTTCTTTTTGCATTTGTTAACACATATGCTGACTTCTAAAGGTTTGCAAGATCCCTGAGTGATAGCTGTAAAAAATAAGTCAAGGCAACTCGACTTCCTGTATTTTTCTAGAAGACGTTTCACTGGTCATCCAACCAGCTTTCTCAATTCAGAATGACTTGTACAAAAAATTATCTGGGAATAAATATGGTGAAAGATGCTCCAATCCACATAATCTGTTAGTCAAGACCAGGTGTTGATTTCATTTGCATAATTGGAGCTAGGAGGTGTTATTAACCTGCCCAGAGAGAGGTGTTAAAGCAGCATTGTACGTGGCAGACAATAGATGTCTAACATCTTGTGTTTTGGCGTTGGGTCTTTTGGGTGTTACATCAAATAAGGTATCTCTAAGTCTCTTTAGAGCCTTGGTTCTCAACTGGTGGGTCGTGACCCAAAGGTGGGTTGCGACCCCATGTTCAGTGGGTTGCCGCATGCCTTGCACTTTTCTAGGTGAGAGACTCCTCTGCCTCCCGCTAGCACAGTACCGTCGGTTCTCACGTTGAGCAGCCGTTCAAAATATGCTGTTCGGCCCTGCGTTTGATCTTGAGGTGGGGTGGGCTGGAAGTATGGCCATAAGGGAGCTCCATCCATGCATGCATTGCTTACAGCTCGCATATGTACCCTGTAGAGGTGCCTGGACTGGACTGACGTCACATTCTGGCTCCTGGCACCTCTAGGGGGTGTGCAAGAGAGCTGTACAAACAATACACATATGGATGGATCTCCGGCACAGCATCCCACACTGGACCCCAGGCTGAGGATCCACTCCAGTTCTCGTAAGGTAGGGAGACTGGCTGAATCTTAAAAAATAAAATGATTTTTTGGGGAGTGTGTATGTGTGTGTAAGAATGTCTGAGATTGTGTCTGTGTGTGCCTGTCAGTGTTTTTTAGGGTCCGTTCACATTAGTACAGTGCATTAATCACACAATCCCATGTGATTAATACACTGTGCCATGCAATCGCACCTGCTGCATGTTCTGGTGTAGATAGTGCGTTGCCATTAATTTGAATGACACCCCAAAAGCACATCCCACCCACAATCCGATTGCCTGCACCTGAGTGCCCGGCACTGCAATGCCGTGCATTCTATTGCAGTACAACTTGGGTCGCGACTTAATGACCAAGGACAAATGTGGGTTACACAGGTTGGGAACCACTGCTTCAGAGGTACCTACTTATATAGCTTGCTCACACCTGGCCAGGAGAGGTTGAATGATATTATGTCAGATTAAAGGAAAACTTAACTTTCGTTAAAATAAAATAGCATAAAAAATTGCTACATGAGCCTTTTTGTTTCTATTCCAATGTGTAGCCACTGTAAATTTTGAAAGCAGTTTACAAAAATTCAATGCAATATGGCAACCTGCAGGCGTTCTGCACACCGTTGGTGTACACAATGGCCCCATAAATGTGATTTCCTGACTTTCCCAGAAGTCTGCACTGATACAAGTCAATTTTAGGCATTCATTACATTTTACATTTTATTTTTGGTGAGATACTCCTACTACTTCTAAAGGGATGCCGGCATTGCAACTTTCCTCATTACAACACAGAAAGTCCACTAGCTGATTATAACAAACCCAGACCATCCTATTCCTGATTTGGTATGGAAAGGACCTGGTGAAACAAATGGCTTTTTCTTCAAAACAGAAAAAGATCAGAATCTGCAACAAAGTTTACAATCCTTGCAATGTACATTGATAACCTAGAAGGGGTTGTTTTTTCTCAACAAAAGTGGAGTTACACTTTAAGCTTCTCAATTTTTTTGTGTACAAATGTCATTGAATGAACTATATAAAAGCAAGAAAGTAGCAGTTTGTAGTTTAACCAAAAAGGTACACTTATTTGTATAAAAATATCGAGTATAAGCCGTCGCAAATATAAGCCGAGGTACCTAATTTTACCACAAAAAACTGGGGAAAAATATTGACTTAAGTATAAGCCGAGGGTGGGAAATGAGGCAGCTACTGGTAAAACCCTGCGCACTAAGTCCCTATGGCTGTATTATCCCTAATTTCTAAAAGTCCCTGAATCCATACCTGCAAAACTGCATATAGGTGTGCTGGCTGTTCTGTATGCCATAATTTACAATAATCAGATATGGAGATAGCACAGCATATAATCACATCACAAGCAGCAATAGCCCAGTTGGAAGCAACCTTGAGAAGCTTGATGAATCAGATGTATTTTATTTGGTGCCTAGAGGTGATCTATAACTTTGAATATATTATCCCATAATCATTCATGTTGCCTTTATAACAGGGAATTAATCTCAGCCCAGCTGATCCGGATGGAAAATCTGATCCATACATTGTTTTAAGACTGGGGAAGACTGAGATAAAAGATCGGGACAATTATATCCCTAAACAACTGAATCCAGTGTTTGGAAGGTAAGATGCACGTCAGCTAAATCTAAAGTGATTCCAAACTTTTGTGGAATTTCAGCATGGTGTGGAAGGGCTACTGTACAGTATGACAGGTGTAGCTGTCCAAATGTCTCTTAAAGGAGAACTATGAGATGAGTGATTTACACTCATACTCATAGTTAGAGCTGATGTGAGACATTGGAATTGTCACAGGTCGGCTCTATAGAGCGGGAAGTGAGCGGATATACCGTTGCTCGCTCACTTCCCGATCATCTCCCTGCAGGGAGCGGTGACTGTCAGTCACCACTCCCCGGAAGGATTCCCACCTTCCCCTCTACGATCCTCCAGCGCTGACTGGAGGACCAGACAGGGGAGGAGGCGGGCACAGCTGTCTCTGCCTCTAGATAGGCAGAGTCTGTTGTCAATCAGCCAGCTGGGTGGATCTCGACAGTATTGCCATGAGCTCCTTCTGCCATCAATCAAAGAGAGAAGGGGCGTGACCTGCCATAGGGCTGTGTGTGTCTACCAGCGCGCACGGGTGCCTCCATTAGAATGATGGTGGCACCCGTACAGGGGGCGGGGGGAAGATTGCTGCTAGAAAACGGGGAATTAAAAACTTTAAAGGAAAAACAGCAACAGCCTCAAGCAAAGGTGGGTCTCCTTGTAGGAAATATGTTTTTTAAAAAGGAGGCTTTAATATCACTTTATGATACCGCCACTCCTGCTATTTACCAGGAGTTCAGTTTCATGGTACCCTGATAAGACTATCACTCATTTTAAATGTTTTAGACTGGACATGGGTTACAACAGTTAGTGCCTTACAAACGCTAAGCCAGTTGACCTTAGAGGAGTAGTCCATTGGCTGAATTTGAACTTTACTGGCCACTGTTTTTCCCTCTGACACAAGGCTTCTGACTGCAGAAGCGTGCACATTTGGTTAATACCTTGCAAGTGCTCATACATCCAACCACTTTGTTACATCTCCAATCTTGTTTTCTCTAACACATTCTGAATGATAGACTCCATAACTGTGGTTCTCTTTCATCTAACTCACATTTGGACTAAGTGCTTCAACTATATTAATGTAATATACGCTTGTTGTTTTAATTAAAATGACATATTTGTTTCCTCAAATTGACGGTAATTTCAATTTATAAGATAAAGCGCCAGATAAATTCTGGTGATTTAATGGCTTTCGCAGATGGGACGCTGTCTCCGTTTATCTCCGGTCTGGTAGCCAAATAATTATAAATTAACCACTCATGGTTCATGGTTTTCCCATTTATTCCTATAGCCATTGCTCATAAATAAACACAACAACAAAACAATATCCAAACTGATGTTAAGCAGTAATCCAGCAAAGGAGAAACTCCAAAGTAAACAGATTGCCACATGAGATGATGACACAGCCCCTTCCTGGGTCACAGAAACAATCAAGTACTTGTAAGGTAAGTATGGTCCGCAGAACCAGTTTCAGCGTTAGCTTAAGAATGCAGTAGAAGTGGTACTACCATGAAGTGTCCATGCAGACACAACAGCACATACTAAGAATTGTACCCAGCATACAAAGTGCTACATAGCAGGGTCCATACATACAGAATAAGAAACAGATACTGTATATTACACACAGCACACAGAAGACATGAAGTGGAGCAGCAACATTGCGGAGTTTGAAGACACAAGCCCAGAATGGTATAGTATAGATGCCCTACTTTTACAGGCTGGGCTTCTTTTACAGGGTCATTTTAATGTATGTACAGAAGTATATAATATTAATAATAGAGATAGTATTTCCTGTAGCTCCATTTGAGCTTATACCGTATATACTCGAGTATAAGCCGTCCCGAATATAAGCCGAGGTACCTAATTTTACCAAAAAACAACTGGGAAAAAGTATTGAATCTGTCTCTGGATTAAAACTTTAAGAGAAAGAAAAAGTTGTAATACTTATCAACACGGCGGGTGGTGACTCTGATCTTTGCTCACTTAAAGGAGAACTATGGGGTCAGTGTTTTTCCCCATAGTTCTCCTTAGGGTAACGGGAGGACACAAACTAGCGTCCTCCCATTACCCTAAGCTCAGTGTACCGCGAGGTACAGCTCGCGATATACTGAGACGCCGCAGCCGGAGCGGATCCCGACTTAGACGTCGGGATCCGCCCAGCTGCGTGAGTGACAGCTGGCTCTGCCTATCTAGAGGCAGAGCCAGCTGTACCCGCCCCCTCCCCCGTCCGTTCCGCCAGTCAGCGCTGGCAGATCGGAGAGGGGAATCCCTCGCAGAGAGCTGTCGCAGAGAGCTGTGACAGGATCGAGAGGTGAGCGAACCCGGTATGTGTTCGCTCACCTCCTGATCTACTGAGCCGACCTGTGACAGTCTCATTGTCACAGGTCGGCAAGAACTATGAGTTGAGTGGAACTCACTCATCTCATAGTTCTCCTTTAAAGCGCTAAAATGGCCAAAGAACCTTCAGCATCCAGTAGACTTCCAGGAGTATCAGATGTCTGTGGCCCCCTGTGGGCACTGTGGTTCTATCCACCAGCCATTAAAAGACACAGTAGTGATGTAGTGGTTGGTGGGTGAAACCACAGAGTGCAGGGGGCACAGGTATCCGACACTCTCAGAAGTGTTTGGGATGCTGAAGATTCTTTAGCTGCCATCTTAAAGAGCGAAGGTTAGAGTCAGCATCCACCTGACTGGTACTTATTATATCTCTTCCTTTGTTGGGTGGCTTGGTTTGATTTTAAAGTTTTATTCCATTGACAGAGTCACTTTACCAACATTTGTTTTACAGTACGGTCACTTTGGCACTGTAGTTTGAAAAAAACTTGATATAGGCTTGGAATTTCCGTTCAGCTCTCGGTAAAGATAACATGCTACTTGTATTATGTTTTTCAGGTCATTTGAAATTCAAGCAACTTTCCCGAAGGAATCTCTGTTAACTATTCTGATCTATGACTACGATTTGATCGGGAGTGACGACCTTATTGGAGAGACAAAAATAGATTTGGAAAATCGCTTCTACAGCCGACACCGTGCAACCTGCGGCTTACAGAGTCAATATGAAATGTATGACCTCTGCCTGGTACAAGTGCCTAATGTTTATGAGTTCAGTGCGTTCTAGACCCTGATACGAATTCTCAGAATAGAACAGATTGAGAACAAGCAGAAACATTGTTACCTTAGTTAATGTACATGCCAGTGTAGTGCATTAAAAAGAACCAGCTGTCAGATCTGTAGCTTTAAATGCCCGGATCCTGGTGCCGCCATAACTTCTATGCAGGCTCTTGGCACAGAGGATCATCAAAATATGATTCAGAACGTTGCTTAGTGTTAGGGGTGAGCTCAATGGTTGACTTGTTATGTGGGTGGTAAAGGGTTAGGTGTTAGGGGAAATTTAAATTTTAGGGAGTGGGGGTATCTAAGTGTTGGGAGGATTGAGTCAACAACTCACTTTAGGGATTAAGTGTTAGGGTTTAATTATGTGTTAAAGGGTTGTTGTTTTTCAGGGTGTTAAGAGAGAGAGATGGGTGGGTAGTACCGATTCTCAATCCACACATATAAACAATATATCCAAGGGTAGGGATTTTATTGTCAGGGTGTCCATGTTAAAGAGATTTCTCCTCACTTCCTGCCCTGATCAAGGCACCACAATGGATGAAAAATGCGCATTACCCTTTTTTTAATACTGTGTGTAGGGATGAGCTACATTATCAGCAGCGTTTTTCGGTTAAATGCATCTTGCTGCACAGTGCTTTGGAGTGCCATTCATAATGAATAGCACAGCACCACACGGAACATAGAAATGGGTGCATTGGTATTTGCTTGAGGCAAATGGGCCATAAAGTGTAAATGGGCCCTATCATTAACTTGTCAAAAAATAAATGATTGGTTTACACATAGATCATAAAGGGTAAGTTAACTTTTTCACATTATGTGAAAAAATTTAATTATTCCCCGCCCCTCCCTCAGACACACACACAATCCCCACTGTTCTTACCTGTGAGATGCCCCCATCAGCCAGTGTAGGAGTCCATACACCGCACTTCATAGCCCCGCAGTTTGTAATGATCATAATGCTCACAAATGATGAGTGCTCATCGGTCAGGATGACCTTGCTAACCAATCAGAAGCACTACTTACTTCCGGGACCTAGTCCCCAGCTCAGAAGTGCTTCTCATAGGTTAGCATGGTCATGTGAAAAGGTGAACTTACCCTTTTAAAAAACGGTACATTTTATGGCCATTTGATTTTTTTTATAACTTTACAAGCAGTCAAATTGATATTGCATTTGTATGGGTGGTCTATTATTTTCTAGACAGTTGGTAACCATGCTTCCTGTTACAAATACAGGTGAAACTCGAATAATTAGAATATCGTGCAAAAGTAATTGCAGTAAGTGCTGCAAAAGGGGCCCAAACCAAGTACTGAGTACATATGCATGCTTGTACTTTTCAGAGGTCCGATATTGTTCTATGTACAATCCTTGTTTTATTGATTGCATGTAATAATCTACTTTTTTGAGGTTGTGGATTTGGGGTTCTTGGGGTTTTCATGAGCTGTAAGCCATAATCATCACAATGATGACAAATCACGGCTTGAACTATCTTGCTTTGCATGTAATGAGTCTATCTCATATATTAGTTTCACCTTTTAAGTTGCATTAGTGAAATAAATGAACTTTGCACGATATTCTAATTATTCGAGTTTCACCTGTGTACAGTCATCAAACTTCTTAAAAATTCCTAGCTTGCATTTCATGAAACAATAAGTGTTTATGTGGCTTCCATTCTAGAGAAGGATACAACGCTTGGAGAGACAGCACCAAACCCACAGAAATACTCACCAAACTGTGTAAAGACAACAATTTAAGTGCCCCAGTGTTTACTCCAGGCCAGATAAAGATTGGAACCAAAGTCTTTAATGGAAAAACTGTGTTTGATCAAGATGGTAAGCGGGAAAAAAAGGTCATATTGTACAGTTATTATACCCTAATGTTCCTCAGAAATCAATGGAGATTGTAGGTGATGCCCAATGGTCAGCTTACAAGGTAGTCTTTTTTCATCATTACAAAATGATGTAGAGTCCGTGTCCAAAAGGACAATGTCATGTTGGTACCGTAATACCATTTTTTCATTGCAGGCCTGTAAGTACAGTAAATGCCTGTTTTAACCACCCAAAATTGTTTTCCTGGTGCCTATTCATGACAGCATACTAGTGACAGAGCTCTGCCCCTATCCCCACCTACAGGACCAGTGCAAATCTACAGATTTTTATACTTAGTGCTTTGACAACTCAATTTTAGCAAGAGGACTATTCAAGCCCAGTCACTAACAATTCAAAATACTTAGCATTCATCCCATCCAGTCAGCTCATTATTTATCACTAGTATGCTGCCATGTAGTCACCAGACTATATGGTGACTACATGGTTCAGAGGGATAGGGGCTCCTATACCTCTGTTCTCCATCTTCATGACAATATCTCTATTGGACACAAATTAGAGAGTTATATTTACGTTCACATTTATATTTTTTCACTTATTTGTGTTTACCTACACCGTGTAGCCAGACAGCTAATGGTCCAGTCCCTGTGCCTCTCTGCCCTATAGCAGTCAGTTGGTCTACTATGGCTAAAGTTATGCCTGCATTCTCTTACACATATAGTTCTTTGCCTGAATTTAGCCACACATGCCAGAGGAAGGCCAGAGGAAGGAAACAAAATAACAAAAAAAAGGCTTTATTGTAAATACAGACCGGCTGAAGCACAGCTCTGGCCCATAGCATACATGCCTCACCAGTATGGGACCTAGCGGTTCTGGCTTATGTTATACACCACAAGAGAGACTTCGAGCACTAGCAGTGAAACTTCAGGCAATGATGCAAAAGTATACATTGCATTATCCAAAAGACCTTTCTCCTGCTGGATAAGGCTCTTTAAAAATGTGCAGAGCGGCCCAATGCACTGACACATGGAGGTAATGGGAGAGTCACAATCACGTACCTTAGGGGAGCCTGAGTTGCTGAGGGAGGCCTCTCTTGCAACTCCAGTCCAAGAATCCCTGGGAAGTGAGACAGGTGTGCAAGGACAAGAGTGGCAAGTGTGCCAGTAGGCAGCAAAATTTAAGATAAGCCGAGTCAGCAACAGTTGGGGAGCTAGGTACTGAAACAGCAGGCAAGGCTTAGTCGGGGACATGCCGGGTCAGCAATTTGTGGGCAGTGAAGTACCAAGCAGCAGAAAGGAATGTGGTCAGAGCCAAGCCGAGGTAAAAAAAATCCAGAGGAGCAGGAGGAAGGTCAATAAGCTGGGTTGGTAACAGGAGATGAGAGTCAGGATGCAGGATACAGGGTACCAGCACAGGGAACCCCTGAAGATCAGTCAGCGTTTGAAGCTAGGATGTCACAGCCTTAAATGGTCTGTTTGGTGCCAACGTTCGTACTCCGTAATGAGCTTTTGCGCACACCATGAGACATGTGCACTCTGCGCAAAACCATGCACAGTTCTATAAGCCAAGCTATGCCCACATACACACGCATGCAGAACTCTTGCGGAACCCGGGCCTGGCTTCCTGACTGGGAGAAAGTGTACTCCATGCATACTGGTGTAGCCCCTATAGATATAGTTATATGTGTTCATGTGTATATGTGCTATCACAGCGATTTCTGTTCCTAACTGTAAAGAGTTAACTTGTCCTCGTGTGTGATCTGGAGGCAGAACTGGTTATAAATACAGCATTGTTTTTTAGATCACTGGATTTATTTAGCACGATTAGTAAATATGATCTACAAAGCAGCAACCTATAGCAGCCGATCAAATTCCAGTTTATTGCAGTATTATCAGAGAAAGATGTGACTGGAGGCTATGAGATTGTGAACTGTGCACATAGCTGTTGGCCTTATTGTGTGTAAAGCAATGAAAGTGGTACATGAGGATATCAGCAAATCAGATGGAAACGTATGTATTATTTTTGAGTAGAACATTGTAAGGAAACCTCTGTCAGGACTTTATTGTTGTCTGTGTCCCCATTCCAGAGATTTTACCCTACATCCTTTGTGGTCACAGAGACTGAAAAACAGCAGAACCTCTCCAACAAAGTTTCAGACAGCAATAAAAGCATTTATTAATACATTGTGAAAGGCGTACAACCTCAGTCAGCTTTTTATTACTTTCTGTGGTGGGGAGATGTTTTGCTTACACAGCATGCCAAAAACAATTTCCACTGTGGGGATGGTAATAACAATTGCCATCTATTGCCCAATGAGTCCACATGTCATATATGGGTTTTGTGTGGAGTATCACTTTAGGGGGAATTGGGGCCACATGGTAGGTCTGTTTTGCAACAGCCAGGAATGTGGGCATGTGGAAGCATGCAAAGGGTCAAGTCATAATACATTTTGCAAATGCTGAGAGGATTTGAAACATGAACATCATTCATTTTCTGATCTGTTTTGCTACCTGTTTGATAGATGAGCAAGTGGAATCATATGAGCACCTGGCACTGAGGGTTCTTCATAATTGGCAAGAGATCACCGGCATTGGATGTAAACTTGTTCCGGAAAACATCGAAACCAGGGCTTTGTATCACAGGGATAAGCCAGGAATGGAGCAGGTAAGCAGTGAGGCCTTTCCACATCCCAGCTGTTCTGCGGAGTGATACTCCATAAAAATAAAAAAGGAATTTGGCTGCCGGGGAATCGGCGATTACCGTAGTTATAGTATTGATGTCAGTACCCTCGATCTGTGACTTAATTATCAGCACCAAGCACACTGTTTTGTAAAGGACAAAACAAAAAAGAAGTCACATAGTAGGCCAAGGTCTTCAAATTTAGTATACATCAAAAAATCCTTTATTCATAATAGTAAGAGAGTCCAAAAATAGATGGATAACCTCCACCGTACCACAGTATCTACAATTAAAATTGACAACGTTGTCACAGATACCAAACTCATAATAGAAGTCACCAGCACTCGATATGTGCAAGAAGTAAAGCACTTTTTATTAAATTGTCACATGCGTCAAACAGCCAACGGGTCCCTTCCTCATGGCGACATAGGGACACTATGTAGTCGTCAATATGTCACCCAGAATAAGGGACCCTGCGTGGCCCCGAAACTTTGGCTGTTTGACGCATGTGACAATGTAATAAAAAGTGCTTTACTTCTTGCACATATCGAGTGCTGGTGACTTCTATTATGAACTGCATCTGACACGGCGCCATCCGTGTTGTCACTTCAAGCACCAACCTCTCGTCCAAGGTCTGTACGCTGTATGGAGTGCAGGTGATTTTGTATTATAGATACCAAACTCAGACTCACTGGTCTAAATGCATTGCTGAGTAAAATATAATTATTCAGGGGAGCAACAGTTAAAAGCCCACTGTATGTTAGAAGCTATGAAGTGCACTCAAATATCTTATACAGGATCAGTGGGGGGAATTGATCAAAACTGGCGCAGACAAAATCTGGAGCAGTTGCCCATGGCAACCAATCAGCATCTCTCTTCAGTTTGCTCAGGTAAGATTTGAAAATGAGAGGGATAAGCTGATTGGTTGCCGTGCAAATCTGCTCCAGATTTTGTCTGCTCCAGTTGTGATCAATTCCCCCCATTGTACATTGGCTGCGGATTTCAGTATTCTAAAATAAAGTTCAGTCCGTCATGTATCATAGCACACTTGTTCATCTGCCGTCTTCTATGAAACATTTGTATTCATTTTTTCCACCTAAGGTCTTCACTTGTCATTTTGTGTATGTGAGCATGCAGACTACTTATTATACTTGGCTGCCTTTGTGATTTAATTGTAGCCAGCCGTGTATCACAGAATATACTACTCTCTTGGTTCCTTTGCAAAGCACCAATGCTTTTCATTAATACTTTGTAACTCCCTTTTATCTATGATCTTTTGGATGATATTACACCACCAACTTGTCACCATACCATTTTTTCTATTGACCCTTCATAGGGCATCACATTTGGTTGAACATAGTATTTACACCCGAGTTCACTTGTATTTAAACACATAGCAGTTCAAGTGGTAGATACCTGGGTGTATGGGTTACTCACAAAACCTCTTCAGATGCTTCAAGTTCATTGGTGTCCATGGACTGAAAAATGTTTTAGATGCACAGGCATTGCAGCGCTGCTTCAACCTGTATTCACAATATCTCTGCCACCCGCGGTTAGTGGTGTTCCTCTAGCATAGCGAGCAGCAGATGAGAGGAGGCCAGAAGCAACATTGATTATTATTATTAATAAAAGATTTTCTTGATATATACCAAATTTGAAGACCTTGTCTACTATGTGACTTCTTTTTTGTTTAATTCTTTACAAAACAGAGTGTTTAATAATCATACTCCATCCTATATAGACCCCATTAAACAATCACTGGCCTTTAGGATGAAGAGCAGAATTGATAAGAGGCCTAGAGGAGCTTCAATAAGGGAGTGATTCATTGAATTGAATTTATTTACCCTCGGCAAATGTATCAATGGCTTATATAGACGATGCAGTAAAATCCATTGACCTTAAGGATGCTCTTTACTGCACCAAAATAATCAAGTACTGTTCAACATTGATGGCAAGCACCATACAATGTTAACCTCTGCCAACCTAATCCCCTGCTGGAGCCCCTCCCCATCCTATAGATCAAGGGTAACCAAACTTTTAGCCCTCCAGCTGTGGTGAAACTACAGGTGGCATTGCAAGACTTTGACAGCCACAGGCATGACTTCTAGAGATAGATGCATGAAGGGATTTGTAGCTTCGCCACAGCTGGAAGGCTGAGGTTTAGCTACCCCTGCTATAGAAGTACACTATATGGCCAAACGTTAGTGGACACCTGGCCATCACACCCATATAAGTTTGTTGTTTGTATGCTCACTTCATCCCTCTTTGTGTGGCGCACAATCCGCTTGCTCCAACACAGTGTAAGCTTACAACAAGAGACAATCAGTGCCTCCACATGACAATAAAATCACTTCATTTTTGGTTCCTTAAAAACAATTTCACCAGCCAAAAATAAAAGTGCTATACACAGATAAGGTATTTCTTTTAGCCATTTCAGGTTGAAACGTGTCATCTGTGTATAACATTGTACTTTTGCATTGGCTACGATGTTTCAAAGACTTAAATAAAAGCGGATATCCTCATGTGGAGTAGCTGACCATCTCTTGGTCTAAATTGATATGGAGTTGCCAACCCTCCGCTCTACAGCTGTAACAGCATCCACTCTTCTGGAAGGAATTCCTCAAGATTTTGGAACGTGTCTGTGGGAATTTGTACCCACTTAGTCAAAAGGGCCAACAAAAAAAAAGTGTTTTTACCATTACCCACTCTGTCCAATTAAAGGAAAAGTTTAAGTTTTAGATATATTTTAATGAAAATCTGTTCTCCTGAAAATAATGGAAACTATTTTCCACCAAGGGTCAAATTATTGGTTATTTTTAGAGATTGGTATGTCATTTTGAATTTGCACTCTGTTATTTTGGAATAAGTGTCCTGTAACTGAGATGCTGAATGATAAAATAAATGATAATGTGGTAATTTGGAAAATAAAAATCAAAAGATGTAACTTTAAGTTGCCTTTGCCCCCAGGGTCGGATACAGATGTGGATCGACATGTTTCCAACTGAGCTGCCACTTCCTGGTCCTCCGGTGGATATCTCACCTCGTAAGCCTAAGGGGTATTTACGTGTTCCAACAATTTCCGCTACTGTTCATTTCCACTTTGGTGGACTTATAATTGCTATTGTTTTTAGGCTCAAGCTTTTTATTTTCAGTGAGACTGCTGCACACTACACATGCTTGGGTTAGTGCAAGGTGTAAAAGGAATAGTCAGAGGAACTGCCATTCCAATTGTGTGTGTGGCTGTTTTGCATGGTTTGGATGCAGTGTGTACACGCACCCTTAGGTCTTCTCCATATTCAGATGTCCAGCAGAGAGATTTCTTCCCTGTCACGACTTTCACATTTGCTGAACATAGTGTAATCTCCTTAAGCATGTAAGGAGGAAGACTGGCAGGTAATATGTTTACGGGTGGCAGGGAAAGGTCTTTCAGCTGTGTTCTGCAGAATAAAAAGTCAGAGTGAAGTCAGTACTCCTGAACTGCATACTCCTGAAAATTTTAGAGCCAGTCAATTAGGATGATAAACAGGCAACTAGCATTTCTGCAAACAATAGTAGGGGGACACTGCAGACCTTTGGGGCATTTGGCCTTCCCCTTGGTGATGGACACTCAGCAGAACATTTTTCTTTTTACTTCCAGACAGAGCATGTAGCACTTGCAAAAAGAGAGCCCATAATGGAACCATGACATGCTCTATATTCTTTCATATTCCTTGAAATAATGTTATTTTGCAGGTACGAATTAAGGATAATCATTTGGAACACAGAGGATGTGATCCTGGAGGATGAGAACATTTTCACTGGGCAGAAATCAAGTGACATCTATGTCAAAGGGTAAGACCATATATAAAGTGCAGTTGGATCTGGTAGCATGTAAAGCCAAGTCATGAGAGAGACCTAGAGGCAATTGACTCAGGATTTGTTAACTTGCTATTCTAATACATTCGTTCTCTCACATATTTTCTCGAGTAAATGTTATAAGCAAACACAGGATGGACTTTGTATTCTGCTGCTATGCTTAGTAAGGGTCTCTTCATATCACTTTTAGGTGGTTGAAGGGGATTGAAGATGACATCCAGGAAACGGATGTCCACTATAACTCTCTGACCGGAGAAGGAAACTTCAACTGGCGCTTTGTGTTCCCCTTTCACTACTTACCTGCAGAGAAACAAGTGGTGGTCAGCAAGAGAGAAAATATTTTTTCCCTGGAGAAGACAGAGCGTAAAATCCCTGCTGTGCTGGTAATGCAGGTCTGGGACTTCGAGAGACTCTCCTCTGATGATTTCCTTGGTATGTATTCCTGACACATAATACAAGAACAGGCCTTCTCAGACTTGGTTAGTTTAAACCTTTTATACTGATAGTTTACCATTTTCTAATTTTTTTGTATTACATCTTTATTTTGAGCATTTAAAATGCAATTAAAGTCAAAACTTTTATTTTTCAGTTTTGGATAGAGTAGAGAGAAATTAGAACACCTGTCAGATTTGTATTAATGTCTGTTTCCCTGTTAGGGAAATGCACCCTCTTTTATTTGTCCTGGTGACAGTTATCACTAAAATTGAAAGAAAATTCCAAATTGTGTCACCAGAACAGGAATAGATAGGAAATCTTCCAGTGGGAAGTGAGACCCTTCTGAGCACTAGTGATTTCCCTCAACCTGAAGGATTTCCTCTCACTTCCTGTTGTGGCTATCGGACAGAAAGTGGAGGGAAATCTCCCCTATGGGACACAGCTGGAAAAAAAAAGTTGACAGCGGTCATAACCCTCCCTTACTCTATCCAAAACAAAAAAAAGGTTTTGGCTCTAGTTCTTCTTTAAAGCCTAACTTTAGCCAATTTTTTGATCGGTTTTGGAGATAGTGTGGAGTTCAAATTTCTGATAGGCTTTTTTTTTTTTTTTATCTGTGAACCCAATGGTAGAATTCCTCTTCACTTCCTTGTATGGACATTTCTATGATGCCCATACAAGGAATAGGGATGTGGTTGTCTTCAAGACAGGTAGGTACACATCATAATAAAAGTATTGTAGAAGTTCTAATCCTTTTTCACTCTTTTAAAAATATATTTATTGTTTTGTCTTTGTCCCAATTGAAGAGATTTTCTGACTGGGAGGACTTTAAGCCTCAATTAACCTGTTATTGTTGACTCTGTTCCTTTTTTGGGCTATTTCACTATCTGTCTAGTTAAGAGATCAGATTAGAGGGTGAGAAGAAGCATATCCTGAGTAGTGATGGGCTCGGGCGTGTTCGCAGCTCCACGTGCCGAGCCTGCCAGGAAGCTGACAGGGCGCAGCGCCAATCACAGGGACTGAGACATTTCCCGATCTCTGGAGCTGCGGACCGGGAACATGTCTCAGTACCTGTGATTGGCTCTGCGCGCTGTCAGCCCGAGCCCATCACTAATCCTGAGTATGGAATGAACAACTATAGCTGTCCCTATGTACATACTGTTTGTGTGCACATTATTATTACGATTTTGATGTGAACTTTAGCTTTTTATGGACTGCTGTTTCCATTTATTCATTGCAGGCTCTACAGAACTCACTCTGAATGGTTTTCATCGAGGAGCCAAGACAGCCAAAAGCTGTGATCTCAGCATGGCCACCACCTTGAAGGACGAAAACAGGATCTCCATCTTTCAGCAGAAACGCATTCGAGGTTGGTGGCCATTCGTAAAATCTGGAGAGCTAACGGTAAGCACCACATTTTGTGCTGGCCCATATAGGCTGTTAAATGTCTTATGTAAATCATGTACCTTTAGTTATAAATCTATATATATAAATCTCTAGGTCTTGCATAGAACATGATATATTCTATGTTTGTTGTAAAGTAAACCAGTTCTTATCCATAGAAAAAATAAAAGACTCTTTGGGGGAGTTACAGAACTTGGCATGGAGCTATTTCCGTGGTCCGGAACATAGAGCCAATGACCGTTTTTTGTATGGACTGCATGTGCACACCTGCAATGGGTTATGGTTGGTGTCTCCTTAAGCCAGCACATCCACTGCCATAACCCAGTAGTCACTGGTTGTTCAGTGCAGTCCACATCAGAGTGCCCCCTTACATTATTTGTCCTCATGACAGTGTCGCTTGCATTAGTTGTCCCCATCAGCGCCCCCCCTTACGTTTGTTATTGTGGACTGCTGTACTGATGGGCATGAGTCATAGCACAAACATGAGATTGGGACCTCTGCTGGAAGAAAATTTTACTGACCGGGCCTCCTTGAATTTTAATTCAATACCTTTGATGTAAACTATAGAATCTATTCCTTGTTTTATCAGCAGTATAAAGTATAATTAAAATCTCAGTTTTTTTTGCATATATCTACTGCTAGCAAGCAGTAGATATATGCAAAAACATACCTCTGTCTCCCCTGCTCGCTCCCATCTGAAGATCTGGAGCTTCTCAAGCAGCCGTGTAGGTGATGGGGTGGGCGCATGCACAGTAGAGATCTTCGGCGAGGAGAAGAGGAGAAACACAGTGTAAGTGAATGCACGCAGGCGGGAGCGTGCACGTCGGACGGACACCGTTGGGACACAGAAGACAAAACAGTCAGCGCTGGAGGGATTGCTGAATTCAAGTGGAAGGAAGAAGATATGCGGATCAAGAGGCATCATTTAAGGTAAGTCCTCAAAGCAGCATGGCGGGGTTAGGTAAAGATTTGTGACTTTAATGTCACTTTAACTCCTAGCAGTGCATGTTGGTTTTGCTTGTGAGGGTTCATACCTATCTGTTTTATTTTGTACATGCTTACAAATAGGTCTGTCCATATTTTCCCATTGTATATTGACATTGCTTGCCTCTAGTTAGCACACAGATAGGATGGTTCAAAATGGAAAAATTAAAATGAGCACAAACATTGAGTTGGTTCCAGATGTGATCAATAAGAATTCTTGTCTTCATAAAATGAAAGGTGAAACCCAATTGTCTTCCATTTCCAACAACTCCAGCTTGTTCTCAAAGTCTTTTCTTCAGCTCAATAGAACCTGGGTAAATAGGGAGTTTTAGATTTTTTTAAATAATTACTGAGATGATATAATTTAAGTATATACTGTATATAAACCCCAAATCTCCTTTTCAGTATGTTTGGCATCATGCCTTACCACATACAATATTCTTAAGCCAAACGTTTTATTGAATTATATAGAGCAGGCCAGTCCTGGGAACAGATCATAATTTGTATGAATTATACACAGCAGACCAATCACTGGAAATTATATTTTGTACCAGTACAAGAGTACAATATGTTGTTCATGTATTTTATTTCTAATAGGGTAAAGTAGAAGCAGAATTCCATCTCGTGACAGAAGAAGAAGCTGAGAAGAACCCAGTAGGGCGTGCTCGGAAAGAACCAGAGCCATTAGAGAAACCAAAGTAAGTGGCTAGCAATTTGTCTAACTTATATGCAACTTGAAGACCAACTCTGCTCAGAACTATGATTTCAGGTTGGTGTGGTTGCTGGTAAGTTGTATCATAGCTGCCTTCTGATTTCTCTCTGAGACTCCACTGATATGAGATGACATACGAGCTGTGACAATTTAATTCCCGGACTGGACTGTAAAAAAAAAAATAAAGTTTACTTATATATACACTAGCAGCTGTTGTCACCTTCAAAGTAGTCCCCTTTTGAAGTGACCCAATTTTTTAGACGACTGTGCTACTGCCATGAACATTCCTTAAAAATTTGTTTTCCGGAACACTGAGCAGTTTCTTTGTTTCGGCACACTGGATTTTCAGAATGTCATCAAATCTGTGTCCTTTTAGGGCATTTTTTAATATTGGAAACAGCCAAAAGTCACAAGGTGCTAAGTCAGAGAAATAAGGTGGTTGGAACAAGTCCCGTAATGGATTTCTGGGCCAGGAACTCGCGAACACTTAACGCATCTTGTGCAGGAGCATTGTTGTGGTGGAGAATCCACTTGTTAGGCCAGAGTTCCATTTTTTTCCTCCAAACAGATTCCTGTAACCATATCAGAATTTTCAAGTAACAATGTTGGTTGAGTTTTTAGTTGCCCACTTCTTGTGTCATCGTGGACATCTTCCCACCTCTCCTTAAACTGCCTTTACCATTCAAAAACACTTGATTTCTTCATGAAATATTCACCATAAGCCTGTAGTAACAGAGCTAAATTTTCCCTCGCACTGTTTCTTCTACTACTCCGTAAGGACTGAGTCAACTGGTCTGCGACCCAGGCGAGTGCAAGTGTGAACATGTCAAAACAAGCTCAAATGCGAATGCCTGTGTGCTACGCTACGGGCATTCCAGGAATTAAATTGTCACACCTCGTATCTTTGTAAATAGTCCCAAACTCTGTGTACTCTGCTCATCTTTCAAATTGGAGATTGGACATGCTAAGCATCTGTGACCTTAAAGGAGAACTATGAGGTGAGTGCTTTTCACTCACTTCATAGTTCTAGCCGACCTGTGACAATGAGACTGTCACAAGTCGGCTCAGTAGATCGAGAAGTGAGTGAACACATACCGGTGTTCGCTCACCTCTCGATCCTGCCACACCTCTCTGCCGTGACAGGGGAGGGGCTGGATTCCCCCCTCCCCGCTCTGATCCTCCAGCGCTGACTGGCGGATCGGACGGGGGAGGGGGCGGGTACAGCTGGGGCTGCCTCTAGATAGGCAGAGCCAGCTGTCACTCACGCAGCTGGGCGGATCCAGACATAATTGTCGGGATTCGCTTCAGCTGCGGCGTCTCAGTATACCGCGAGCAGTAGCTTGCGGTATACTGAGCTTAATGTGACAACAGGGAGCTAGTTTGTGTCCTCCCGTCACCCTAAGGAGAACTATGGGGAAAAGCCTTATCCCCATAGTTCTCCTTTAACTATTCCCCAGTTGAAGAAGACTAGATCACCGCTCAAAATTTCCCCTCCCTCCCAATAAATCATAAACACATTGCATTGACACTTTATTTTAAAGAGTGGGCAGATTTAATTATTGGAGCACTAACTAATTTAAATCTGATTTCTGGGAAAAGTAACAAAACACTAAAAACCCTCCCCTTCCACCACCTTAGAAGTCTTTAAGAAGTTTTTTGACTTACATGCTTCTTTTCTCCAGATATCCATATTTTTCTGCTTTGTGACATCATCACTGGGCTCCAATTGAGTTCCCTCCAGTGGCAGCCTGTGGGAGGGGTAAAACAACCTGTGAAATATGTTGGACAGCCTGTGGAAGGGGTTGGAGTGTTTGCATGGTGTAGGTGGGGTTAGGTTAATGAGGCAATTATATCTGGCCAAATGGCCTTTAAAGGAGCCATTGCTGCAAAAACCTGGGCAATCAGCACTGGGCTGGATCAGAAGTGGAACAGGCATACCACTACTCTTTGCAAGGCAGATCTCTGCTCTGTTGTCCTGCCAGGAGCTGTCAGCATCCTGTTTTGCTAAGCAACAGCCAAAAATAACAGATCTTCCAACAGGATCAACAGGTAACACAACTATATTACAGTTGGACTCAGAAAAACAAAAACGGTTTGGTTCATTTTATTGACAGACTGTAGAATATAACAATTTTTCTATTTTGCTGATAGTTCCTCCTTTATTTATGTTGATGCCAAACCTTGCATACAGCACCACTGCACATCCTCTGCAATCTTCACAGGACCTTTTGGATAATTTTTGATGTGATACACCAAGGAGTTCACTGCTGCTGTAGACAAGTTGTACAAATATCTAAATCCTGGGACCGTCCCTGAAAATCAAAGACCAATTGCTGCAATAGCCAAAGCTTTTCCAAAGCAGCAGTAAATCGAAGGACTGCATGCCGGCAGAAAGAAGACAGTAAGGCAATAAAAAGAAAACTTTTAGTTCATTTAATTTCACAGTGTGGGCCATAACATGACAAATTAGGTTAGCAGTGACACATAAATCGCCGGTCTCAGCAGAGGTAATGAGATGGTCTCAGTCTGGTCAGATCTGCCTCCACTTCATCACCCTGACACCTCAGCCTTGCTATGGATAACCTCCGCTTTAATATGCTCTATGGCTTCTATTTTGTTTATAAATTTAGAATGTGTCCATTCTGTGATAATGGAACCAATAACCTACCGCTGTTCTCATGCACCAGACTTTGTTGGAAATCTTTTATAGTAGTCATATTTTAACATTCTGTGGAGGAGAGTATTGCTTTCTAACCAGCATGTGATATTTAAAGAGGTTTCCAGGAAAAAAGTTAAAGCTGAACGTCAGTTTAACCTTAGTTATTAGCCAATGCACAGCTTCCCCTGCTGAACAGACTGCAGCAAGGCTCATATCTCTGTGTACAAGCAATAGAAGCAGCCTGTTCCCAATATCAGCTATACCACTTTATGGGTGAATGACGACAAGGTCATCGAGCCCCTTTCACTCCAGACTGGCTGTCATCTCCTACCACTTTTAAGTAATTGGACATCTAAGCTGTCACTTACAGCAGCCCTGAGTCACAAATGGCCATTACCTATGTCAGTCCACCTAGTAAGGCCCACCCATCATGATTGACATTTGTGTCCCTTCCAGCCCCTCGCACCAGCAGCCGAAGGTCGGAGATGTGAAGAAACCTAGTCTGATTAGCTCCCTGGAGGTTGTCTGTGGGAATTTGTGCCTATTCAGCCAAAATAGCATTTGTGAGATCATGTACTGATGCTGGCTCACAATTAGCATTTCAATTCATTCCAAAGGTGTTCATTTCTTCAATTTCCTGTTGCTAGGAGCGGTCTTAAGTTCTGGCCGCCATTGTGACCAACTAAAGTCCTCTTTTTCCTTCCCTCTCCCTGCGCTCTGTCAGTAACTAGCAGGGAAAGGGACCTGAGCTCTGGCCAGCATAAAACATCCTGCAGAATGGCTTAAAGGGTCCACCAGCCAGGGTTACAGTTCCTACAGGTGCCTATACACCCTGAAGGACAGTTGAATGTGCACCTGTGATGGCAAAGTGATCTAAAAATAATGAAGAATGTAACATGAGAAGCTGGAAATCTGCACAGGTAGCCAAGAACATCTAAGACTCCCAGGTGGACAGGAACAGTATTATGGCAGAGAGATCTCCATGTTGGAAAACCCAAGATATTTAAAAAACAAGGGGCTGACTCAGCCCACCAGACACCACTACAAACTAAAATATCACTTGTGGATAGAAAGACCCTTTTAAAAAAAGCCTAGAGAATGGATGATATAACCAAAGCCATCGTTGCAAAAGCACTTTGATAAAGCAATCAGGTGCGGGCACTTTATAGTTTTCAGTACGGGGATAAAAGATCTCTGCACAAATTCATCACAACTACACATCAAAGATGATCAAATAACTTAGTCTGTTGTAATTAAATATGTATTTCTCCTATGCAGACACAGATCCACATTACACGGTTCCTCTTATTTAACTGTTTGTTTTATCTGGCCCTCAATGTACTTCATAAAGATTTGATTAAGACGGAATAAAAGCTCACTCCCATGATGGACTACAATTTCAATACAAATTAGTAAACTAAATGTGAGATTGTAGTCTATCACAGGAGTGAGCTTGGAGCGGTGGCTACTTCATAACACACACAGGGACCATGGGGAACAAAAGTAGCCACCCTCCAGAAGGAAGGACAGTGTCAGCACCAATTCAGAGATGATTTGAGGATCTACAGCCGAGTGATACACAAATAAGATACATTTTTATTAGTAGTTAGGGTACTTGAATTGATTTTTAAGGTTTAACTCCTGAGTTTAGTGTCACTTTAACTATGATAATGGCAGAACATGTCTGCTTAAAACTGATGCTTTTAGTCTCCATTGGTGCATGTGTTGGAGGGTGACAATACATGAGAGCAATTGGGAGACAGGCACAGAGTTGAAACCCTGTAACAGAAAGTCCCTGAATAGGAACCTTCTTGGCAATATCACAAGATATTATTTTATTGAAAGTTGTACAATTAAAGAGAAGACATTTGAAATGACTTTGTGTTATCCAATATATGACATTTTAGCGATAAGGTTTATATCTACAAAAGTAGCACTTGGTAGCAGCACCAGAATCCAGTGTGCATGATATCACAGCCTCCTCCTCCCTACACCCTTCGTTGAGTAAACTTCATCAGGAGATCTCTGGCCATATTCAGTCCTAGTGGTCCCTTGTGGGCCCTCCGAGGCTATGATAAGCATGAGATGCAATATTAACGAGAAGGTTGGGTTACAATGTCCAGGAGAATAAAATACTTAAAAAAGAACCAGGACTGTAACATTTAAAATATGGACACATTAAAAGACAAACTAAACAGAAAAGATTCCTCCGGAGAGAAGCCGGTAATTCACACATTGATATCAATAACTGCAACAAAACGAAGCATTCCTCCGGAAATTTCATTTATGATCACAGGGGAAGAAGCGGTAATTAAGCAGAGCATGTTATTTCCTTGCTGCAGATTAATCAGACAGAACAAGCAGCCACATTTTCATTGCGAGTTGCTGATTTATTCACGGGGCTTTATACACTTTGGAGTCTGCTGCTCATTTGTTATTTGGTTATGAAATGTCGGTCGTTTCTCGTTACATTTAGAAGAATATTCACATAGGAGCTATCATTAAAATTCATACTTCTCATAAATTCATAAAGATCATGTCACTATTACCAAATCACGTCATTAATTTGAGTAGCTCTTTCTCGTGCTGACTGAAAAATAAAAACAAAAATACTCTATGGAGCTCCACTCATGTGACCTAAAGCCAAGGCGTAGGATCACATGGTCTCTGGCTATCAGGATCACTGTGGTCGTTTTATATCATTAAAGCCACCCTGTTTAAGAACATATAGTAAAGATACCCTGTGAAGGAAGGTTAATGCTGAATATCCCAGCAGGTGAAAATCTCCATTCTCTGTTAGAGCTTCAGGCGCTGCTTCTATCCGGCACTTCAGTTGTGTTGGATAGTGTGTCCCCCTCTGGCCACTTGGCTCCCGTAGGACACTGTTATGACATAGGAGACGGCAGGAGGAGCCACAGTGTTCAGTGGCGTACAGGTTATCGAGACGTATTTTGCAAGAGAGCAAAGATTTTAAACACCACCTACTGGTAAGGAAAGTATCATAGCGTATGCAAAACCAAATTTGGATAGAATGTTGTAGGCTTAGAACCTCTGTCAGGTTTTTTATTGCAATCTGTGTTCCCGCTGGCGAGATTCACCCACCCTATTGGTCCTGCTGATGGCCATTGTTACCAGTACACGAAGTGATGGCAAAGCTAACATTTTTGAACTGTTACAGGATAGAGTGGGAAACTTCCAATGGGGCCATGTGTCTTTGGAACCACAGTCTTAGAGGGGATATCTCTTCAATTTGAAGAGGTCTCCTATTGCTTCCTGTTGTTACAGGAATAGAGGGGAAAACATCCAATGGAGTTACCTGTCTTTGGGACAACTGTCTTAGAGGGGATATCTCCTCAATATGAATAAGTCTCCTCTTGCTTCCTGTTGTGTCTCTGATTACAGAAATTGAAAGGAAATCCCCCCAATAAAACACACAAAAATCCCTTCTTTACTATAAATGTAAAACATTTTTTAAACTTATTTTTAGCATTAAAATATACCTCCAGGCAAGTATTGAAGGGTTGAGGCCTTTGTCTGGTTTATATTAGACTTCTTTTCCTTCCAAATGGATATTTGTATGAGTTTAGTAAAATTCGGACATTCGGATGCATACAAATTTCTGAACTCGAACGTGTCCAAATCCAAAGGAAAATTCGTATCCATCTGAATTTTGTTCAACGCAAAACTAAATTGGACATGTGGCTGTTCTCCAGCCAATCAGATTCCTTTTTTGCTGTTGTGGGTTGTGTTACAAGCACGGTCATGTGACTTCATGTTTTGGAGTAGAGCGAGTCGATAAAAACAGTAGGAGAGCACATGGTGTCAGAACTGAAATGACCAAAAAAAAAACCAAAAATAATTAAGTTCATTTATAATTAAAGAACCCCATCCGAAAAGATCCACAAAGAAAATTTGGATCGTGCTGAAAAAAAAATTTGGACAAATCCGAACTAAAGGGAATTTCGGATCCGAAAAACAAAAGAAATAAAAATCCGAATCGATCCAAAATGAAACAAATTTTTTGTGGGGTTACATGTTTAATTTGTATTGCTGCCAGTGCTCTCTTCCAGTTTCCATGTCATGGTGGAATCTCTCTAACAGTGACAGACAGAAACAAATAAAAAGTTTATATTTGGTTAGTAGAATGGTGAATAGGTAAAACCTCTAATCATGGGTTATTATTATTACAGGTATTTATATAGAGCTGACAATTTACACAGAGCAGTATACAGTGCACATTCACATTAGTCCATGCCCTGAAGGAGCTTACAATCTAAGGTCCCGATCTCACATACAGGGCCAATTTAGAGAGGAGCCAATTAACCTACCAACATGTCTTTGGAGTGTGGGAGGAAACCTACAAAATCACAGAAAGAACATGCAAACTCCATGCAGATAGTGTTCTGACCAGGATTTGGACTTCAACCCCGAGTGCTGCAAGGCAGAAGTGTTAACCGCTACACCACTGTGCTCCCTGAAGAAATGTCTCCTTTCTTCCAGTTCTGGTGACACACTGTATGTCAAGACGTAACAGACAGGGCCAGATTGCCCATTAGGCACAGTAGGCTTATGTCTATAGGCTCTAGAGCCAAGGAGACAACTTTTTTCTAGATAGTTATCAGCCGTGCATTTTATTTATTTATTGCCATCATCAGGTTAACGACAGCCATCTCCAATAATCTTATATATTCAAAGCCAGGTTAGTACCAGTAAAACTGGTGATTTGAGCAGTGGGTTGTTGTTTTGGATGCCAATTTATTGTATGGCTACAGGCTGGTCACAGGGTGTTGCTGGGACACTGATAGAGGTTCTAATCCTTCCCAACTCTAATTAAAGCTAAAAACTAGAAATGTTTAGACCGGAGTTGGGCTATGAGTAAAGGTGATGAATGAAAAGAAAACAACATGCTTTGTATGGAACGTGCTCCTCAGGAATCCGTATTGTGTGAAGGTCTGGACTAAGCCAGCGCTCCATTCTGTGTCTGCAGGGAAAGCACTGTGCATTCTAGTTTATATTTTATAAAGGTAATTTCCTCTTTCCATTCATAGGTAATGCTCTGAGCAGGGAATACAGAACACAGGAGATTGAAGCCCAGATACAAAACAGTTTTCCATTACTGTGCAATGGAGAACTGTGATGCTCAAATCTCACCTCTGTATCTGCTGCTGAAAAGAACAATTGGCACTTTTCTCAAAAAGGGAACATAATAAAATTGTTATATAACGTGTACACATTGGACATTCATCATAGCAAACAGGTCTCTACAACCCCCATACACCTCTCTCCATGCCTGCTCTTTCAGTGCAATCTTGGGGGGAGGGGGGGGTGTTAGGACATCAGAAAGTCGGGTCCTATGCTGTGTATCAGGAACTCTGACAGCAGCTTCTTTATGAATGAAACCTGCAAACAGTGATGTGTAATGTATGACCAGATCAGATACAGGATAACATAATAGTGACAAAACTCTGCTTTTTTTTGTCTTTCGACTGCCCAGACATTTTATTTATAAATACATTGTAACAATCTATGTGCAGATGAAAAGCCTTATCATTTGATTTGCACATAATGTCAATTCCAGCAAATAATCTTCATGTTTGGAAGTAAATAGGGCTCGACCAGCCTTCATCATTGATTTGCACCACATCCCTATCCGGTATACAAGAACAATCACAAAATAGACCATGGGACTTGCTACTCGAGTGGATTCACAATATCTTGTTTTCTTATATAATACATTAATTTAATGATACTAAAAATGGTAAATGTAATATAACCCCTTATTATTTCTAATTAACCCCCTCCTTCTCCTTTTCTGTCATTGAGCCTATGTAAACTTTTTTTTTCTTTTTGTTTCATTTTGCTTTGCTCTTTCTCACAGCACAAAATACACAGAATGTTTCAAAAGCATTTATTTCATGTGTCAATATCTCCCCAGTGCTCTGTGCTTGCTTGCCAGAAACATTGTTTTAGTGCTTTTTTTAACATGATGAATTTCTATTTAGTGTTTGTATTTTAGCAAGTGGCTGCTCAGTTGTAGTCTGTCTTACTATAGTCTATCAGATAAAAATATGATCATCAAAATTTTAAACGATATATAATAGCAATCTTGAAGATCTCATCATGCATCAACTCATATGCTTCACATTGATGTATTTTCAAAAGTCAATCTTTTTACACCTGCAGCTTTTATTAAAATAATTCCTGGTGGTCCTGCCATGATCATCTAGGCACATCCTGTTATAGGGTGACAAGGTTCTGTCTCTTCTTGCCAATTGTTCTCTTAGGTTGTCACTGTGTCACATGCACTTTGAGAGGAGGCTATCAGTGGCCATGTAGTGGACATGCAGTGATTACCCTTTGCGATCATCCCGGGTTGAAGAGTTATGTCGAATAGCATACGAGTGTCGCTGTCAGCTGTCATTCCTTTGTATAGCGCTTCCCACTGTCCACATGAGTCTTACGGAGCAATTGGTGAGACTGCCCTAATTTACAAATGTAAATGAGGCCTAAATCTCATCCACTAAGGCTTTACATCTACTTTTAATGAAAACCTGGCTCTGTTTTTTCTATGCCTGATAAGCCAAGCCCACTTGAAATAGGCCACTTCTACAGTTCTTTCTGCCAAGATAAAGAACTGGAGTGGGAGAGCAGGAAATTACATGTTACTGATATGCAATGTAGGGCCCGATCACATATACCCGATGACGTAATATAACGGTAAAACCTTTTCTTTTTTTTCTTCCAGCCGCCCAGACACTTCATTCTCCTGGTTCATGAATCCCTTCAAGTGCTTCTTTTATCTCATCTGGAGGAATTATAAGAAGTACATCATCATTGCCCTGATTCTGCTGATTCTTACCCTGTTTATTGCACTCTTTGTGTACACACTGCCTGGTGCCATCAGCCACAGAATCATGAATGGATAAGAAGTCGGACCTGATTTGTTTCATGTTATGGTTGAGCTTACAGTAGAAGACCTGATACCGATAACTCTACTGATACCAGAAACCTGTTTCACGCTCTACGGACGATTACGATAAATTGTCTTTATTTTCCTGATTGAATAAAATATACTACATATGTTATAAAAGCTAAAACAATTTATTCAGACTTTGTGACTGTTTTATTTAACTCCGGGCACAAGAAAGAAACTGCCCCTGCAGTGGAGCTCCCCATGTTGCAAGGGTTAACTGTTTGTAAGGTCTAGGGGTAGAGGAAAAAGGAATACTTACCTTATTCCTCTCTCTCCTGCAGAGGCCTTCCATCTGTGCAACCACAGGCTGTCTCCGAAAGGCCCTTCTCTAGGCACAAGCTTAGTTTCTCAAATACAATACAGTATTAACAGCACTGCATTGTATGTGATAGCGCAGAGGGGCTGCCCACAGCCCAGAGCATAAGGGGGAAGGAGGAGAGCACTGGAGAGAGGAATAAAACCCTTGGAATTTTGGAGGTCCTGATTCTTCTATATAGATCTTTAGTTATCACTAGAGAGATCCCGAGCAGAAGGAAGGAGGTCCTGATTCCTCTATATAGATCTTTAGTTATCACTAGAGGGCAGTGGCGTAACCAGAGTTATGGGCGCCCGGGGCAGAAATTTTTTTTGCCCCCCCCCCCATATTATATTATATAAACATCCACTGGAACTGTACCCCCCACCCCCACACATATATATCAGCTAAGGAACTACAAGTCCAAGTATGCCATCATGAATTGTTTCTGATGACATTTTTGTGAAATGTGAAATCAATAAAGAAATATTTAATTTTAGTATGACAAACACAGAGACCCCCCACATGTAGCACACAGAGACCTCCTTCCTCCAGCAGGAGGAAGGAGGTCCTGATTCTTCTTTATAGATCTTTAGTTAGCACTAGAGGGATCCAGAGCAGAAGGAAGGAGGTCCTGATTCCTCTATATAGATCTTTAGTTATCACTAGAGGGATCCCCAGCAGGAGGAAGGAGGTCATGATTCTTCTATATAGATCTTTACTATCAATAGAGGCAGGGCTGGTGCTAGACTATTTTGCGCCCTAGGCAAGATCAGCACCCCCCAACGCCCCTCCCGTGGCACAACACTCAATTGAGTTTTTCGTTACTCCAGTCAAAATCAATCATTGACTAATAGAAAGTCAAAGGAAGGATCTTTTGTACAAAAAGTTTGTTCGGAAATCTACGAGTGTATGTCCAGCTCTCCAAATGCGTCTTCTCGCAATGCTCAGAATTAGACATATCGAAGCAAGTACTGAAAAACCCTTTGAGGGTAAACTTTTGTGTGACTCGAACTTTACTTTAATAAAAGTGGGCAAAGAAAACCCTTAAAAAACATTATGTGAGTGGATGCGTGCACTCACTCTTAGGGGTCTATTCACGAACCTGCCGAGGGCAGCCGAGTGAATGACCAATCTGAAGTGAAGTGAGCCGAACAGTGTTCGGCTATTCACTTCAGGCTGGTACGGCTAATTTCAGCTGTACATCGGCTGAAATCAGCCGTACATCGGCTTGCTTCGCGTGGCTTCGGGTCGGCCGAACATGCTCAGCATGTTCGGCCGACCCGAAGTGCAGAAGGAGTTCGACTCAGCCGATCCAACATCTGGATCGGCTGAGCCGAACCCCCGGCAGGCTTCTCACTGCTGTTCGGGCTATTCTTAAAGATCCCGAACAGCAGGGAGTGAATAGCCGAATGCCGCTGAGCGGCATTCGGCTCGGCTGTTCTGCTCGGTCCTTCAGAGCGCTTTGGGGCAGAGGCCCCAGGATTTAAAGCTCAGCAATACGTAGGAAAGTTAATGAGTTGTCATCCGCACTTCCTGTGACCTGACCTGTGCTTCTGTTATCCTGTGTTTTTGTTAAATAAATTCTTTATACAGCATAACTAATATGGCAATTTTACATGGTACATCAAGCAAGCTATTGTACAATGTGCTTGAGATACATAATTTGTAACAATCAAAATTACAATAGAAGTCTGAAAGTAAAAAACCATAACAGGTTAGAACAAGCATGGGATGGGAGTGGAGTGAAAATTGAAAGAGAAGGCCAAGCCCCATCTATATCGGAATTCAGATCCTCCAAACCCGGGTAAGGGTATGCTGCCGGAAGTGTCTTGGGGGATTGCAGGCTTAGCTGGGTATTGACTCTTAGGCCAGGAGGGCAGTCATGTAGGGTATATATGTTTTGGAAGGGAGTAGAGTAAATGGACATAAAAAGAGATATGGGTACTATAGTAAGTAGGTGAGCAGGTATGACAAAGCGGGTGGGTATTTGACAGCGGACATTATCTATTACAATTCTTTAGCTCTGACATATTCTACAGTTCTGCAGAGAGAACACTGAGGCCTCTACACCAGTCTCTGGACCAGAGGAGCTTACACTCTAATTGTACACTCAGTTTGTGATCATTTCTATGAATAAATATCTCTCCCCAAAATAGCTTTTACATTAGACATAAATGAATATATGTGACAAAATGGCCCCTGCAAAGATGAAGAGCGCAGTAGTCATGTAAGATTGAAATTTGGACGAATATCGGCATATTCAGAACTTCAGATGCATCCGAATTTCTAAATGGAAAAAATAAGAAATGAAACCAAACTGTTTTCAACAAAATATTCAGATGTGTGAATATTTTTTGTTTATTTCAAGCATAGCTAATGGTAAATAAAGGTCACTTCCATAGAGAACAAAAGCACTTCACTAGAGCAATAATCGTGTTCTTTATTCAGAGTGTGCAGAAACTATTATAGCGAGCGAAGAACTAAAATAAATAACTAAAATAAAAAAACCAAAATAAAGAACTTAATAAAAATGCAGCCCAACAAGATATGGGAGAGCAAATGCTGGTTTCACACGATTACCATCATATAAAATATAAATACATTCAATACAATTTATGCTGCTCATTCAACTATGCCTAAGGGCTTTCCTCGAACCATTACCACAAGGTTGAAAGAACACAATACGATATAATATCTAAAATGTTTTTGTGTTTTCGTAGCAATAACAGTTCTCTTTAATGTAAACAACTGAACTCGATTATCTGGAGGTGTCCACATACTTTAGGTTGTATAAGTGGGTGTGATGGTCAGCTTTTGGCCTGCCATATTGTATACGCTATCAAAAACTCAAAAAAAAATGTTTTGGCTTCCACTCTACTTTAAAGTGACACTAAACTCAGGTTAAATCTTAAAAATGCATTCAAGTACCTTAACTATTAACAGAAATGTATCTTATTTGTGTATCACTCGGCTGTAGATCCTCATCTCTGAATTGGTGCTTACACTGTCCTTCCTTCTGGAGGGTGACTACTTTTTTTCCCCATGGTCCCTGTGTGTGTTGTAAAGTAGTCACCGCTCCAAGCTCACTCCTGTGATGGACTACAATCTCATATTTAGTTTACTAATTTGTATTGAAATTGTAGTCCATCATGGGAGTGAGCTTTTATTCCCACTTTACAACACACATGGGGAAAAAAAGTAGTCACCCTCCAGAAGGAAGGACAGTGTAAGCACTGTCTGAGTTTAGTGTCACTTTACAGACCAGTACAGGTGAACATAGGAGACGTATTGAGGATAAAAGTGAAGACCATAGTGCCCTGAGACATTTTAAACACATTCATATTAGTAGTAGTGACAGAATGAAAGCCTATGGAAATACAAGGTACGCCGCACACACTTTGAAACATTTAAAAAACTTACAGGGTTATTCACTAAAGGGTGAAGGGTTTGGAGAAGGCAGGAGAAGGGAACAATCTAGGACAACATAGCTGATTTGGAAACATTCTCCAATTCAGCTCACTTTCCAGTTCAACGATGTTGTCCTAGATTGTTCACTTCTCCTGCTTTCTCCAAACCCTTCACTCTTTTGTGAATAACCCTGTATGTTATTGGGTGAAATATTGGATTTCTTAATCTAGAAATACTGACATCTAGTGGGCTCATGAGGAACTCATTTACAAAAACCTATAATGTAATATAGGACATGAGGATTGTTCAGAATTGATCAAATAAACATCTGTCGTTAGAATTATTCTGTTTAAACTTTTAAAGTGATTTAGTTTCCTCTCCTTTAAATAAAAATGAATCTCTTTTGTATTGTATTTTTATCATAATCATAATTCAAAAATGATATGTATGCTTCTAGATGTTTATCATTCCTTATTTGAAATGGGATCATTTAAACTTTCACTTATCTAAGCTGTATCAAATCTGGCCTATTCCTACCATTCTGATCATTCATCTTGAAAGTAATGATGTTGTAGATCAAGTCAAAACCTTGGATCTACTGTTTGCAATTTAACATAGCTTTAAAATATTTTTACGCAATACCACAATTGTTTTTTTTTCCTGTAATTGTTCCCTGAACTCTATTGGTTGTCACTTCTGAATTTTAAACCATTTTGAAAAGAAAACAGAACTTGTATAAATAGATCATTGGAGAAGCTTATGTCTCCCATGGATGGCTTCTTATTTTATCGAGGCTTGAAGGGCTCTAGTTGCTTTATATAGAGAGGAGGGTGTACACCTTTCCGACAGTTAGATAGAGTTAGATATATTCAATTTAGGATTACAGTCATGTATTGAATTAGCTATGGTTAGGGGTGAGGCCAAGCTTGTTATCTAACAACCCCAGCTGGTGGAGGACTAAGTTGTGTTTTATGAGATTTCAAGTGATTGTTGCTTGAGCCCTGATAAATAAGCAGTTGTTAATGTAAATGGTGGGTAATTCAGTTAATAAAGTTTGACCATGAAAAAATTAAAAGTGTACTGTTCATTCCTATACCTGGCAGTGGTAGTGTGTCATTCCTTCAATGTTACGTACGTTTATACTATTGCGTTTTTTGTGCCACCTGCTATCCCATGTCAGGATTCAGCACATCTGAAGGAAAAAAGTCACTCCTTTGAAGACAGTCAAGTACGCATCCTAGAAGGGG